CCCCTGTAACCTATCCAGATCCTTCTGCAATCTCTCACTTCCATCGAGGGTGAGGAGGAACCCCAGGGCACAGAACCCTGTGACCACTGGGTCATGTACACGTAGGACTATTTCTGCTGGCACATCCTGGAGAGTGTCACAGACCTTGGGGACAACCTCCCCACCAGTGGCCTTTCCCACCCTGAACAGGTGCCCCACATAGCACAGGCTGGCAGGAGTGGCCAATTTGAACAGTGCCAAGGCCAAGCGGGTGTCAGCAGGGAGGGCTGGGCACATGCCAGTATCCAGGCAAGCCAGGTAGGGCCAGATCTGGTGAAGCAGGTCAGCAAAGGTGGCCTGGGTCATCCTGAAGGCATCAACCCATTGCTTATCATCCCAGTTATGTTGTACCAGGTGCTGTCAGCAGTCCCAACTGATGCAGTAAGCCCATAGGTAGTGGGGCTGGAGGGCCAGGAGGGCAATGGTGGCTCCAGCAGTAGTCTCCTGGAACCCTTTTTCAGTGTGCCTGGTGATGGCAGCTGCATGATAGCAGGGACCCTGGGAAGGCATGCAGCAGTCATCCAGGTAGTCACTGCATGTGGGGGAGCTGGGTGGAGCAAGGTGGCTGAGGGCCAGGTGCTGGTGATGGTGTTGAGCCAGCAAGATGACCAGGATGGCCAGGAGGATCAAGGGAGCCTGTTGCTGGATGCCAGGGGCTGGGGTAGCTATGGCTGAGAAGTGCAACTAGGGGAGGAGCAGAGCTGCCACATGCTGCATGTGTCTATGTCATGCTGCTTCTCTCAGCAGAGGAAGTCTCTGCCCAGACTGCACAATGGGTGTGTGTGGGGGGGAGTAAAAATGGCTGCTGAGTGCTAGGAGGTGGCTCTGGTTTCAACATGGCTGCCAAGTGTGGGCAGCCATATGGCTGGAGGCTGGAGCTCCCCCTGGTGGCCAGTGGGACATGGCCGGGTGGGAGAGATCTGGCACTAACTTTAGTGCTAGATCCCTTCAATATAGACACCTGCCAAACAAAAAAAAAATCAGTTAATGCACACTAAGCTAACGTGCAGTAAATTTAGTTGCAACTATTTGCACATGTAGATGTGCCCAGTGAAGAATAAAACAACATTAAAAATAGAATATGGCATGGCAAGAAAAAATGCATTACTAGTATCGATGGACTAAATAGGCCAATAGAGGACTGTGTAGTTTTGTATATTGATGTTGTGGTAAATTAAAGAAAAAGTAAATGGTAGCATGACAAAAGAAAAATTGTTTGAGGTCTAAATCACTTTGAGGAAAGGACAAGCATTAGGAATTTGCTATCGACCCCTGGAGTAAGATTTGGATATGGCTAGAGTTCTCTTCATATTACTAGAGAGATACATTCTTGCCCACTAAGTACAGACAGCCAAAAAGCCTGAGGCTAAATTAATTCAGTCTTTGCAGGTTAGTCATAGAATCAATGAGTCGGAAGGGACCTAGACAAATCATCTAGTCCAACCCCCTGCCATGGGCAGGAAGGAGCACTGGGGGTGGGAGGGGTCATAAGACCCCAGCCAGGTGCCTATCCAGTCTCCTCTTGAAGATTTCCAGGGAAGGTGAGAGCACCACCTCTCTGGGAAGCCCATTCCAGGCTCTGGCTACCCTTACCGTGAAGTAGTTCTTCCTAATATCTAACCTAAACCTATCCTCCCTCAGCTTGCGGCCATTGTTCCTAGTGACTCCAAGGGGGGCCCTGGTGAACAGACTTTCCCTGAGTCCCTGCTGCTGGCCCCTGATAAGGTTGTAGGTAGCCACAAGATCCCCCCTCAGTTTCCTCTTGTGGAGACTGAAGAGATTCAAGTCCCTCAGCCTCTCTTCATAGGGCTGGCCACAGAGGCCCCCAACCATATGAGCGGCCCTCCTCTGGACCCTCTCCTCTCTAGTCTAAGTGGTGTAGATTGATCTGATAAGCAAATGAACAGACATTCACTTTTGATTCTGGAAATGCAGCCACCTGCTTGCAGTGGCCCAGGCCAGAAGCCAGGGGGTGCTAGAGTACACTTCCCTGCTCAGCTGAACCAGACAGCTTGGGCTTAAGCTAACTCACCCACCCTAAGAGGAGGAGTTTGTGGGGGAGATGCAAACCACCCTGGGATGCTGGGAGATTGTGAGTTAACTGATTTAAGTTAAATCAGTTTATTAAGCTTCTGTCCTAGACAGCCTTCAGATTCAAGTTAAGTCTGATACTACGTCCATTCACGTTCATCTTAAACCGGTTTCAGCCCTTTTGAAAGCAGTTTATGTACCCTGAACTTCTGCTGTGTTAGAGATTTAAACCAGTTTTCAATCACTTTTACCGGTTTCTGTGTAATTTCTATCCCTAGCAGATATAGATCTTATTATGGAAGACAAACTTCTTAGCTATACATTATAAAAACAAACATTACTAATGGTAAACCACAAACATTCCTCAACATGCTAGTTCAGTGGTGAAGAAATTTGTCTGATATCAAGAGATGATAATATGATATTATTTAAGGCTAAATCTACTCTACCATCAATGTCAAGTAGGTAAAATTAAATTAAACTGAGCTCCGTGCTGCTGCAATTAGGCAGCTACTGATACCCGAGATAGCTAGTTTAGAAGCTAGCTCTCAGGTCTTATACTCCACGGCAGTCACTTCTACATCTGCAATTTAGATACAGCTTTAAACTTAGTTTTCATATATCCTGAAGCTATGGAAGTGACCATAGAAAATTACCTTAGAAGGCTTAGCTCAAGCAATCATGAGTAGTTTCAATTTAAGCCATATGGAAGATAAACAGGGTTCTCAAGTTTTGGATTTCCATATGGAAACTGAGAAAATAAAGGAAATAATAGATATACTTGGACTGAAGAGCTCAGGGCATGAATGTGGAAGAAGTTTGGAATTTTTAGTTCAAAGGTGCAAAACATGTCTGGAATTTGTGTCCCAAAATAGGGGGAAAACTCGTATGAATGGCTTTTGACTTAGGGAGGGCTGAATAGTCCCAAGAGAAAGAATATTTCTTAGTGTTAAGGAGAGAGCCTACAATGAATGGAAAAAGCATTGATCAAGGGGAAAAAAATGCTACATTTTGGAAATCGAAGGCTGCATCCCCACAAGCAGGAACATGATGTTTGCAGCACCTCAAAACCTTTTAAAGTAGTACAAAATATATGCAGTGCATGTTAATCCATTTGCCTTTCTGCATATTTGCAGCATGGTGGCAAATCAGATCCCAGGAAATTCCAGTATCTAAAAAAAAATGCTAAAAAAGGGGTGCACCACACATGGCAGCAGCATATGCTCTGGCTGGTGGACAGGCTCCACACACCCGGATCACCACTGCTGCACCTCAGGTGCTGGCCCCAGCTTCCCCTACCCCACCTGGGGCAATCTGCAGTGCACCAGAGCAGGCATCTGGGGGCATCCCTGGAGACAAGTAGCAGTGACATAAATATGTGCCGCTGCTTTTGTCCCCAGGGAAAGATACTTTCCTGCTTGTGAGGGCACCCCCAAAAAGTGTAACAATAGCTTAAGACCTGAAAAAAGACTAGTTGGGATAGATCTTGAGGTAATGTTCAAGCAAGTATAAATCAGTTCTTTAGGTATATAAAAGGAGAGTATAGAAAAAAGAAGTGGGGCTCTTATGCAGTGAGGATGGAGTAGGTAAGGCTCAAAAAAATTAAATGAATATTTTGTTTCAGTTTTCACTAAGGATGTGGACTCAGAACGTTGGGCACAAAGGCAGATTGACTAATAAGAATAAATAGATAAAATGAGATAACTCCATATGTGAGGTGGAAGCAAAACTCAGTTTGATGCACTCAGAAAAAAATCAAATTATCTCTGTTCCAGAATACTGAAAGAGCTAGCATACAAAATGTCAAGTCCAGTAGCAAGAAATGGTAATGAATCTATCAAATCAGAATTGGTCCAGTATGACCAGAGAACAGCAGTAATAGTATCTATATTTTAAAACAAAGGAAAATGTTTTCCAGACCACTACAGAAGCATGGAGTCTGACCTCAATAGTATGCAGAATTTTAGAACAAGTTTTGAAGGAATGAATAATTTAAGGCTTGAAGGTAAACAGAAAATGGAATAAAAAGCAATTCAGATTCACCAAAGGTAGATCATTTTAGACATATCAGATATCTATCTTTGATAAGAGAGACTATCTTTTGGGGAAAAAGGAAATACAGTAGATCTAATCTGGACATCAATAAAGTATTTTATACAGTGCCACATGGGAAAATACAAGTTAAGATAGTGAAGATGAGAAGTAGCAGAGTAACTGGAAGAGGTATAAGGAGCTGGCTGAATAGTAGATGGCAAGAGATAGTAATAAAAAAGGAAGTGTCAGACTGGAGTTAATATATGATGTGCCCAAATAATCAGTTTTTGGACTATTCTTATTTAGTATCTTTCTAAATCCATTATCCTAGTAATACAGTAGCTTAGATGAACATGCTGGGAGTAGTGTAAAGTGGTGAAAGGATGGTGAAGTCACAAAAAGAAGCCTAGACATTGTTCTTAGGGCACCACAGAGGCACAGCAGGGTAGCTCTGCACCTGGAACAGTGCCAGTTGCAGTGGTAGCTATTTTTCTGCACCCACACACTACAGCAGTGCCCAGAGCTGCTGCCCTTGTTGTTTCCCCCTGTCACTTACACTACTACTGGGACATCATTTTGAATGGACTTGAGATCAGTTTCCAAGTGTCCTCAAGGCCACATTCTAGATAAAATATTTACTTACTTTGACAAGGTTTTGGGAGAGGATTGAGAGTGCACTCCTGGAATGAAGAAGAGTGGAATGATACTTTGTTGAAGGCGATTGTCTGGATGACTTCTTGCGAGATCGATAAACGCTGATCAATAATGCAGCTGAGGTAATGTTTTTATATTAAGTTGTAGAGCAACTAAATCCCCTTCATAGGCATCGTTTTACTATTAAATACAAATAAGAAGGCACATTACATTTCTCTCTCTTTACAATTCTTCTCTGTTGTCAGCCACTTTTAGCACCTGTGTGATTTCATAAGAGCCTGGTTCTTGTCAGGTCCCTCTTTCAACACACCCTTCTCATAGCCTCACTTCAGAGTTGGAGTTCAGGCTAAACTTTCCTTACAATATCCTCTGAAAAACAAAATAAAAACCACATGCACATTTGGCCTAGTCAAGATGTAACAAATGCAAAGGCAAAAATACTCTTTGAAACATATGAAGTACTTTTTAGGATGGAGAACAAATGGACAACAAAAACAACAAGAAATAAAGCACATTTTGCCAAAAAAGCAAGTGATAACTGGAGACATAAATCATTAAACCTCCTGTTTTTGGATGGACAATTGGGCAAAAGACACACGGAGGAAGTATTCTGTTCTAACTGTTCTGTGGGCAGACAGGAAGGCACTGGTTATCTCTGTCCTCCTGCATCTGATCACAACCAAGAATAAAAGCCTTCCACTGTGATAGCTAATTAAGTTATTCCTTTAGCAGAAGGGTAGGGGCTTGTGCTTTTACTCCTCACTGAAGAAATCCGTCTCTACTCAGTAAAGGTCTGGAACAACTGCTTTGCTCAAGTTAGAATCTTAATGCAGAATGTAGTGTCAATCTACATGCAGCTACAGGTGCCTTGCATTTTCATTATTTATTTCAGAAACAAGCACCACGCCCAGCTGCTATCTGATACTAGCAAGAGAACGGATGAGCTATTTAAAAAATACATGCCAAAAGGGAAACATTTTCCTTATGCTTTTCATCAAGGTTTTCTTTTTAAGTAACTTTTTAAAGGGTGCTTTAAGGTAAAGTGGCCAATAAAAAAGTTCTAAATTGCCTTGAGTAGGAAGATTTATCAGTCTTGTGATTGATGTGTGGTAATACGTCTCAAAGGATTTTCCAGAGCCTTTGGTCTCCATGAGCTTGTCATATTAAAGCTGACATGTGAAACCCACAAACTGCAGAACAGAAAGATCTTTTGAAGATTTTAAATCAAAACTAGATAACCTGAAACCCAGTGAAACTGAAGAAAAAACCAGGACAACTGGCTGAGCAAAACAGGAACTAGCCCACAAAGCATTTGGGTGCTAGGGCATACTAGTTAAACACTAAAGAGCTTTACCTTTTAGATGTCTACAATGCTAAGTTGATGCCTATGGACAATGAATGAGGAAAGTAGGTCACATAAGGAAGGATTTCTCAAAAGCCAGCATGCAAACTGGGTTACTGCTGAAGTTAGCAAATAAGAAGCATCACACAGCTTGCTCCAGGTCACAGGGAGGCACCGGCTCCTGCTTGGAAGTCACAGTTCTAAATTTGGTTCCTCAAGTTGAATGCACAAGCCCGTTTTTTCAAACATGGTTCAGGAGTTCATGCATCCTTTCAAAATAATGTTACCGTTCCCTTTTACCTGAGATCTCACTGGGTAGAGCATGCACCCAGGATGTTGGGACACCTAGCCTAATTCCTTCTGCTGCCAAAGAGGATTTGAACCCACATTTCCTATTTCTCAGGAAAGTGTCAGATTATAAAGTACTGGGGCCCCAAAGAGCCCAGCGCTCTATAGCCAGGGAAAAAATAAATAAATAAATCACCGTATGATTATGTTAGAAACAACATATTTGACACAGTGTTTTTAGCTTACTAGACTATGATTGTGTTGTCTGCGCTACCAACTTATTTTCTTCTGTTATTTCCCGAAAGGTTCACACCTTGTGAAGCTCCCCCTGAGTTTGAATACATAAATACCAGGAAAATTTATTTCAACCATAAAATGTATGTTTATCATTTTCTGATTACATGAAATACTCATATGGAAATGCTTAAAAGGTTTATTATCAGCATTGTTTGGTGCAGAGATCCAGAGGTGAGATTGATATCACAAGCGCCAAGAGGCATGTAACTGCATGAAACATTGGTAATGGTGTTATTCCCATTCTTAGATAACAACATATGCAGTTCAGATAAAAATACAAGTTTTACTGTTAAGGATAAGAAATATATTAAGCTAGCTGTCAAAAACTGCAATGTGTACCATGTATACATTGTATAAGAAAGCCACCTTTTATAGTGATCTGCTGCAGAGAATAGCCTAGGGCTGGCAGCATTGAAGACATCTGAGCTAAGTGGGGCAACAAGTTGTGTGAAAGCCGATTTCAGTTGAATTGCTTGCAGAATTTCACTGGATTTTTGTAACCTGTCAGAGCTGTAGGTCTGCAGTTGAAAAAGAAAGTGCTTCCTGTGTAATGAAATTACATTTGTGATTCGAAGACTAGACATTATGGAGATGCGTACAAAATATGTGAGGTAGGTAGCCTGCTCTGTTATGTGGCTAGAAAAACTGAACTCTCATTCAGTGCAACTTCTGCTTTTCAGAGTCATGCTTTTAAACTAGTTCTGTAGTTAGGGTCAGACCACAGAAAGTTAAGGGACTTTTTCCAAAGCCATACAAGTCTACATTCTCATGAAGTAAAACTCCCATTTCAGTTCAATGGAAGTGATTTAGGACTACAAAAATTTAGCCCTTGTTAAAATTCTCCCCAAGACTCCAGTCTTGCAGTATAGTGAGGCATCTTTATTTTTGCCCTGGATATTATAATTTTGTATTACAATAGTACCGAGACGCAATAATCAGTGTTATGGCCCATTCTGCAAGGTGTTATGCAAACACCCAGTCAAAGATAGCAACTGTCCCAAAGAAATTGCAGTCTGTTTTATTATGATAAAAATCAAGGGAGTGCAACAGAGGTAGGTGAGCAGGGACAAGAGCTGAAACCATAATCTACCTGTGAATGTAACTGAATGGCAGAAATTTGGCCTTGCTTTCTTAAAGCTAATGTGTGGCCCCAACTCTCCTCCTCAGGGTCTCAAACGCCCACAACTACCTCCGGTGTACCGCAACCCACCCTAAGGTGAGGGCTAGGGGTTAAGACCCCCCGACCCACCTTTCACTGGGGTGATCACTGGCCGGGCATTTCCTGGGGGCTCCCATGCCGCTGGAAGCCCCACCAGGCCACCCACTCCCAGCAGGGTGTAGTTTCCAGTTGTACCCAGGACCAGGAGCCTCCTACCATCCCCTATACCTCCTCCCTTACCTCCAGATGAAACTGAGCAACCCTCACACTACACAATGTTGTTGCCTCTCCCTTCAGGGGCCAAACTGCCTTGTTTATATAGGCAGCCCTGAGCCTAAAATGGCTGCCCTCATTAGGCATCTGGAGGCTGCCAGCTCCAGGGCCTTAAAGTGGCAGGCACACATAGTGCCCTGCCACATTGTCCATTTATGGTGATCAGAGTCCTAAGACGGACCTTCTGTAAATTAAAGATGACTCCATTCCCACCAAAGAAGAGTAATAGGAAAAGCCAGCCATAGGATTGAAACATCCACCTCAGCACAGTAACCTGGGCATGTGCAAGTTGCATGCAACACAAAGGCACACAACTTGTGAACAAGTGGAGGTGAATCAGGACCATTGTTTACATAGTATGACCCACATGCAAAGGCAGCATGAGCCAACCAAAAACCATCAACTTTGATAGTTGTGCACATCCACATCTGAGCTGAACTGAGTCTGGACCTGGGTAAGCAGCTGACTGGGAAGGAACAACTGTCAAATACATCCAGTACACTAGAAAATGTTCAAGACAATCATGAAAACTTATAGATTATTTCATAGGCATTGCCACCCAGATCTACTAAGATATATAGATGCCTAATTACCCACTGGGACCTGAGTGTCTTAGAGAACATTGACTATAGTTCTGAATTAACATGCAATTAATTTAAGAAAAATTATTTTTATTCTAAGAAAACTTTACAACTATAGAACACAGGGAAAAAATATTTACAGGAAAATGTTTACCTGGCCTCATCTGCCATTATTGAAGATATTTGTGGACTTGTGCTATATAGGTCTATCTACTGCATAATCCAGTGCTATCCAAGAGTATCTGGTAAATTGGTATGGAATATGGAATATGGAGGGATGTGGGCAGTGGGGTCCCCCAGGGCTCGGTCCTCAGGCCTGCATTGTTCACCATCTTCATCAGCGACTTGGACGAGTGGGTAAAAAGCACCCTGTTCAAATTTGCAGATGACACTAAGATGTGGGGGGAAGCGGGCATGCTAATAGGAAAGAATAGGCTGCAATCGGACCTAGACAGGTTACAAGGGTGGGCAGATGAGAACAGGATGGGTTTCAACACTGACAAGTGCAAGGTGCTGCACCTGGGGGGGAAGAACCAGCAGCATATCTACAGGCTGGGGAACTCCCTTCTCATCAGTGCAGAGGCAGAAAAGAATCTTGGAGTCATTATTGATGCCAAGATGAACATGGACCAACAGTGTGGGGATGCAGTCAGGAAGGCCAACCGTACCTTGTCATGCATCCACAGATGCATCTCAAACAGGTCCAAGGAGGTGATCCTCCCCCTCTACGCAACACTGGTCAGGCCACAGTTGGAGTACTGTGTCCAGTTCTGGGCACCACACTTCAGGAGGGATGTGGACAACATGGAGAGGGTCCAGAGGAGGGCCACTCACATGATCGGGGGGCAGCAGGGCAGGCCCTACAAGGAGAGGCTGAGGGACCTGAACCTGTTCAGCCTCCACAAGAGAAGGCTGAGGGGGATCTAGTGGCCATTTACAAACTAGTCAGAGGGGACCAGCAGGCATTGGGGGAGTCACTGTTCCTCCGAGCACTACCAGGAATGACTAGAAATAATGGTCACAAGCTGGCAGAGGGTGGACTAGATATCAGGAGGCGCTACTTCACTGTCAGGGCACCTAGGATCTGGAACCAGCTTCCAAGAGAAGTGGTGCTGGCTCCTACCCTGGTGGTCTTTAAGAGGAAGCTAGATGAACACCTGGCCGGGGTCGTTTGACCCCAGTACTCTTTCCTGCCATGGCAGGGGGCCGGACTTGATGATCTGCTCAGGTCCTTTCCGACCCTACCAACTATGAAATATAAAACTATGAAATATTCTTTTGGAGAGGGGCTGAGCCAAAATCCATTGTACTTAAAGGAGTCTTTCCCTTGACTCCTTTGTGCTTTGGATTGGCATGGAGTGTCTGCTAAAAAAAAAACCTTGGTGTCACTCTGAATGATGAATTCATTGGAACAGAAGGCAATAGCAGCTGCAATGGTGAAGATGAGCTCATTCATTTTATGTCATATTGTTTATTACCAGAACAACAAGGTAACAGTACAGAAGTATATCCAGAAGATGTCTGGAAGACAATATATTTGTTAGAACAGAAAAGAAAGACTAATAGTTTACAGCACTAGAGCACCAGCTGTATACTGCTGTCCCTAAGAATTATCAATACTCCACATGCTGAGTTAATTATTTAGCTGTTTTGTTCATGTTTGCCTCACTGCTTGTCAAAGCTTCTGAATGCCTTATACTTGAATTAAAACAATTAGTACAAGAATGAGTCACCCATTCTAATGGCTCAGAAGTTACTGCTCTACCATATAAGAGAGGTAGTTAGCAATGTTTGTCTGAAGTCAGACACCTTGGAGACCAACTTAGTTTATGCCTCTCTGAACCAAGTAGTCTCTAAGGCTGTGACCCCATAAGTGGAAGAGCCCAGTTTGCGGTGCCTCAAAGGCTTTGAGTTTTCACAAAATACTGCGGCACACATGACTTGGTTCCCTGTGCTGCATATTTGCAGTGCGGTGGCAAATTGGGTACCAGGAACTCCCAGTATCTAAAAAAACCGAAGCAAAAACAGCAGCACAGTGCATGTGGCTGCAGTGTGCACCACCCAAAACTAGAGCCTGGCCGACCAGAGCCACAGTCCAGCTGTCAGCCAGGCTCTGTGCACCCGGATCGCCACCACTGGAGCCCCAGGAGGGCCCCAAAACCCCAGGTAAGGCTTCTAGGACCAGCCCAGGTGCTGGCCCCAGCTTCCCCTACCCCACCTGGGGCAATCTGTCCATGCCAGAGCACATAAGCAAAGGCATGATTGGGGAAAACTAGCAGTGGCACAAACATGCCTCTTCTTGGGAGAAATCCCAAAGAAAAGTGCATTATTTTTTTGCTGTTAAAATGGTGGTTTATACTTTAACATAGATTCATAGAAGTAGGGTCAGAAGGGACCTTGTAGATCTTCTAATCCAACCCCCTATCCTGGGCAGGAGAGAAAACTGGGTTCAAATGACCCCAGCCAGGTAGACGTCAAGCCTCCTCTTAAAGACCCCCAGGGTAGGAACCATCACCACTTCCCTTGGAAGTTGGTTCCAGATCCTAGCCACCCTGACTGTGAAGTAGTGCCTTCAGATGTCTAGTCTAAACCTACACTCTAACAACTTGTGGCCAGTATTCCTTGTTACCCCCGCGGGGTGCTCAGGGGAACAAGGTCGCTCCCAAACTCTGCTGGTCCCTGCTAGTGAATTTATAGACAGCCACCAGGTCCCCCCTCAGCCTTCTCTTGCAAAGGCTGAATAGGTTAAGGTCCCGTAGTCTCTCTTCATAGGGTCTGCCCTGCTGTTCCCGTATCATGCAGGCGGCCCTCCTTTGGACCCTCTCAATGATGTCCACATCCCTCCTGAAGTGTGGCGCCCAGAACTGGACACAGTATTCCAGCTGCGGGCTGACCAGTGTTGTATAGGGGTGGAGGATCATTTCCTTGGCCCTGCTTGAGATGCATCTGTGGATGCACAAGAAGGTACGGTTAGCCCTACTGACCATGACCTCGCATTGTCGGCCTATGTTCATCTTGGAGTCGATAATGACTCCAAGATCTCTTTTTGCCACCTTGCTCTTGAGGAAGGAGTTTCCCAGCTTATAAGTGTGCTGCTGGTTCCTACTGCTCAAGTGCAGCACCCTGCACATACATTTAGGCAGAAGGCAGGGCAGGGTGGTATCTTAGAATATGTCCCAAATAATTTCCCTGGGGACAATCATGTGCCACTGCTAGTTGCTGCCAGTGTAATGGACGTTCCCGCTCAAATACGTGCGCCCTAGGGTGCTATGTTAAATTATAAAGTACCATTTTAATAGCAAAAAAAAAATACACTTTTCTTCTTTGGGATTTCTGTCTCCATAGTTGAAAAAAATATCAGTCAATGGATAGTGGCAGAAAAGGTTCTTTGGATAAATCTGATATTTTTTATTAGGCCAACCAAATAGTTGGAAAAAAATTCTTAGCAAGTTTTCAGGTTTAAAATCTCTTTGTCAGGCTGAGGAAGCATCTGCAGTTTGTGTGTGCTCTTCCTGGATTGAATGAATAGTAAAGAAGCCAGGTATTCATGCAAGAGGCTGGCATGCATGCAAGAAAGCCAGTCAATGAAGATGTAAAATAAGGAGTCAGTGGGTGACACACAGGCAGGGTGGGAGGTTCCCCACAACAGAACCATCAGCATTCCTGGATCTTACAGCTGCAACTGCAGAAATGTAATATATCTCATCCAGTGCACCAAATGCCCTGATGGAAAATACAAAGGAGAGACCAAACACCAATTGCACACCAGAATGAATTCACCCTGGAAATCCGTTAAAGACAAGAATACTCAATTACTGGTGGGGGCACATTGCTCACAAGAAAACCACTCTCTCTCCAATCTCTCAGTTCTAATCCTCAAAGGGAATTTACAAAACACTTTTTACAGACAAACCTATGAGCTTCACTTCATCAACCCTCTGGATACAAAAAATCATGGACTAAATTTAGACATTGGATTTATGACACATTATAACTTTCCTGACATCTTACTCCCCAGGTACCTCTTCACTATTTTCCTGCTACATTCATCCCCCTTCCTCCTCATCCCTCCGTCCCCACCTGTCTCTCACCCACTGACTCCTCAGTTTACATCTTCACTGACTGGCTTTCTTGCATGCAAACAGCCTCTGGCTTCTTTACTATTCACTCAATCCAGGAAGAGCACACACCAACTGCAAATGCTTCCTCAGCCTCACAAAGGGATTTAAACCTGAAAGCTTGCTAAGAAACATTTTTCCAGTTAGTTAGTTGGTCTAATAAAAGATAATAGATTTACCCAATGAACCTTGTCTTCCTATGTTCTTAGACAAGCACAGCTACAACCTACACTCCTGTCAATGAATAGTGGCACACAAAGGTTCAATTTGATGATCTAAAACAGCAACAAGTTCATGGCCATACACTGTTGTTCCTGATCCCTTAGTATAAAAATAAATATTATTGGTAGCACAAAGCAGTTCTATATTAGTAAATTAGTTCACTGGGCAATTCTCCTCTGTAGGGGAATACTTATCTGCCACAGTTACTCCCTCCCACTATTGTTTATGTAAAGTACATCCCTAAAGAGGATCCCCAAACTGCCTTCACTGTCTCTGGGTACCATTGGCAGCCAGAAGAAATTAGAGCATGGTTTCATCCTGCTGGAAATTATGCCACAGTATGGTCCAGTGCTTGGTGGACCCCCAATTCAAGGAATGGTAAGTACCTTAAAGTAACTTTTGGACTATCCTCTTTAGGCCTTTACCATATCCTCTTCAACTGGTGCACAGAATGTATCCTCTTATATAAAATCCAGTTCTCCCAATGGTGAGGGAATCCTCATGTGCCTGAAGCAGCACAATGGGAATTTTGGCAGAGCTGTGGCATGAAGAATTTAAAATCTGGAGATTCCTGGAATAAAGCTCTATCTTTTATTCATACCTAAATGCTGATTAAAAAAAAATTGGCTAATTAATAAACCAGAAAGACATTCAACTAAAACTAAAATAGAGTTTACACATCATATTGATAGAGCGTAAGCTGGAAAACCAACATTTTGCCCTTGCCCAATGGGATATTTGAAACACTGAAGGTATAAGATAGATGCAAACCTGTCAATCAATACTGAAAATTACTCTATCACAGTTTGAAGGTGTAAGGTAGATGCAAACCTGTCAATCAATACTGAAAATTACTCTATCACAGTTTGAAGGTGTAAGGTAGATGCAAACCTGTCAATCAATACTGAAAATTACT